GAGCAAGGCCGTGGCGAAGCCGTGATCGAGACAAGTCGAGGACACGAACATCCGATCCTTCATCATTGGTGCTTTCATTGAGAGTGATTGATTTGGTGTTCATGAACTTTTTCTATCCCATTCTTTTTCTTTTTTGGTTCGATTTTTTTGTTTTCTTTTGTTCGAAATTTTTCGAAATTTCGTGAGTATCAAAAAAAAAAGTGTCATCTAGTCTTTTGTTATTTTTTCCTCCCCTAGATTCGAATTTTTCGAATTCTTCTTCTTTTTCGAATTTTCATAGAGTCAAAAAAAAAAAAAAAAAGAGTCATGATGTTCATACCATTAGACGAGATGGATTTGGAGGATCTCGAATTTTTGGAAAGATTGGAAAGAGAGTTAACTCCATGGGAGCACAAATATTTGGAGGAGTTGCACGAACGAAGAGATCACGAGGAGAAGCTCGAGCGACAAGCCAAGGTCATGGAGGGATTCGCCGACGAAGAGCCCATATTGGTGTTAGATCTACCGGGGTATGTTGAAGATGAGGTCACCGAGTTCATGGTCGAGCGAATCGGGTGCGAGGATTCACCTTCGTTCGGTGTCGTGTCCATGGACGTTGGGCAACCCGATGATACACGTATAGACGTCGAAGAAGCTGAAGTAGCCGAGATCTTGGACGTGGCCCGTGAGAAGGAGTTGCACACGATGTTCGAAGGGGCCGAAGCGGTCAAAGTTAAAGAGGAGATCTTGGTCGTGGTCGACGAGGGCTATGACGATACATATAAGAAGGACCACGCGGATACAAAGGAGGCAACGTTTCAACAGGTGGTGATCGAGATCGAAGAGGTTCCCGAGGTTTGGATGGTCGAGGATGAGTCCTTGAGGACAAGGACATTCTCAAAGGGGGCGGGAATGATACGTAAGTGGGTTTTGACCCCTGACGACAAGAAGGACCAAGAGCCAAGACTACCCGAGAAGGCAGAAGAAAGGGCCAAAACGACGCATGCATGGCCGAAAAGACGGGTACGAGCTCGTATGCGAGGCGCACAAGTACACAAGAAAGGGCGCATTCAAGAAGGGCGCGCACACGCGCATTGGCGTAGACGCGCATGGCGCTTGATGGTTTGGCGAAGTGGCGCGCAGAGGGTGGATGTTGGGTGGTTGATGCGCGCGAGGGGTTACCGTGAATGGACGAGCGTGGCCAAGGGACGAATAAGCAAATGGCGCGCATCGGGCCATGATGCGCGCAAAACGGCTACAAGCGATGGCGCGCTTTGGCCGAGTGATCGTGCACGAGCGGCAGAAGGGTGCGCGGTAAGCAAGAAGGCCACGGGCGTCGATTGGGATGCGTTGGCATTCGGGGAGTTGGACGGGCGCAAGGTGCGCACGGACTACGGGCGTACGCACGCAAGGGACAGAGATGCGCCAGTAGCGGGCGTGCGCGATAGCGCGTTCGCGGTTGACGTCCTAAGCCCAGCGGGCATAGGAGTGCTGGGAGCAGGCGTGCACGTGCATAAGGAGGTCGGCGGACTAGGC